CTATCCTTTCAAATGTTTAATTTTAAAGATGATTAGTTTTCTTTTTGAAGAACAATATAAGTTTGTTTTAGGATTAAAGCTGGAAATATAGTTTTATTTGAAAGCAATGATGTTCACGTGAATTTTTAATGAATCGCTTATGTGTGACCCTGTTACTTCGTTAGAGCTCAGGTGAGCGTGCTAGGTTGTATAACGTACTAGTTCTTTTATTGGTTCTAGATAAAGTTATCGTAATCGTTTGTTTTCGAGTAATAAATGCGCCCGCTTTGCGTAACGTTGGCGGAGTGTCCTTAAATTTTCTGACGCATATTCGCACGCAACAGTTCCTCTCATTTGTGATAATTATTTGTTATGTATCTTATTGAATATGTGTTTCATTTATTCATCGACACGCTGAAACCTATATAAATTTATTTAAATATATAAATGTTATTGTAATCGACAAGATCCGTAAAAATGATAGAATTTTAAGTCATATAAAGTATATTGAACGGTAATCGGTTGCAGTTTCTACTGAATAATTCTTTACTTATGTATTAAATGTTCTTACAAATTATTCATCCTGAAATGTAGACGATACCATATTAGAAAAACAAGTTATGTCAGTTATTTTGACAGTTATGTATATAAATAATTGATGGCAAAATAATGTACTTTATATGAAAATAACGGAGTTTATAAAAGTATAACGATTAGATATTAAAGATATTATCGATAATGGGATATGGACGTTGCGAACCAACATTTTATCGCGTTCAAGATTACCCGTACGGGTTAATTCAAACCGACCTGAATTCATTTGCGGTAGCTGTGAAGTATCTAAATGTTATAGTTTTGCAGTTGGCTCGCTGTCTGTTATCTGTCAGACGGTGTTTCGCTTTAATTCATTTAGGTCACGGTATCACACGACCGTAGACTGACAAGATTGCAGCGGTAAAAACAGATAAAAGGTAATTAAAAGATATTTACCCAAGATTTTTAAATACAACACCTAAATGTTTAAATATCAAAGTTTGTCCAGAATGTATTATACAGTATGCCTTTACTTTAGTAAGCATAAAGAGGTCAAAGAGGTTTCTTTTCCCTTTTATTTAACGTAAATTATGATACTCGGTTAATTTGCTAATTTGATTTATATGCATACACATACGTATTCATAGATATCGCTTAATCTTAATTTTTATAAATGTTTCTTGTTCTTGTATTTCTGTGTATGGAATGCATTCATTTATAGTGTTAATATTTTTGTATCACGCTTGATTTACTCACATTATACAATAATAAATTATTCTGTCATTTGACATTGCCTTATGATTTATTATTATATACCACTGGAATTACAAAATCTCAAAATTAATTTCAAACCTGATGCGCTACCTGACACTACGGTATTCGTTTGAACAATCAATTTGCAGTTAACGACATGCAATAATAGGTTGTGGATGCGCGTGGTGCATTTGTTTGCACCTATCGTTAGAGCCTCTAGTGCATCGGCATCGTTACGTTTCTTGTAAGCGCAAAGAAAAAAAACCAATGAAATTTCGAAGCGACGGACACTAGTTATCTGTGGATATTTAATATTTTTAATTTGTTCTCTGTTTTTCTAAATTTATGACGTGAGGATGTTACGAACTTTACTGCATTACTTTTCGTACTTTTTTCTACAAATTTTAATGTAACGAACTAATTAGTTTGGTTTTTTTATAAAGTATGACAATATTCTTTGTTAATGAAATGATTATGTCCTTGTAAAAATTGGTGCTTAGGAACCATAGAAAATGTTTTTGTTTTTTAAATTCGCGTTTACGTTTACGCTCTTTTATTGTAGTCTTATCGGTGATCACAGAATACGTTTGAACATGGCGTTGATGTTTACTTTGTGCGAGCAATTACTGACGCTTTTCACACTTACTCGCTAACAGTTCGGACGCCGCCCGGCTGTAAAATTGTCGCAGCGATGCCTTTCTCGGATCTCGATTTAATGTTGACAACTAATAGACACACCGATGCCATATTTTTTTCAAACTTGTTTCTCGATCGTCACGACTTTGTTGTGTTGCCATCGGTACCTTAACCAATGAATAGAGTTTGTGAAGACTTAGATATTATACTTTATTAGAATGTTCTACGTGCATTTTACTCGTTGGGACTTCTTAGACGGTTATCTTATTAACAGACAACGCACGCACGTATGTTTGTCTAGATGCAGCTGCTGTTTTTTATAAGTTCTAATTACGTGGTGAATAGATTCCAATTTAGTCTAAATTCAATTGTTATTTTAACGAACACTCGAAGCGGGATTCGGAGGGAGTTGGACATCTTAAGTTGTCACTTGTTTTCTTTTACCATCCGTGACTCTTCACCGGACGTCGACCCTTATCACTGCCTCTATATCGTAGGGTTGTCAACTTTATATACGAAAGATTACATTAAAAATAATAAATTTTAAATTTATAAACACTATTTTACATTCCTTATGATTTTTCCTTCACCGCTGAGCACGTGTTAAGTTAGCACTTAAAATAAACATAAACATTTTCGTTGGTGCCGATTCCCGGGAATTGAACAAAGGTTGCTCGAGTATAATAAATTAAAAGCTAGCGCCAGGACAATGACAATAGAAAATAAAATAAATGATAATATATTAATGCTAAAATTATAAAAATTAAGTGACATATTGAATGCAAAATACTCTTAAAACTTTGTGGAGTATATTTACGAACGAAAGTGCGGATTCAGTACACCTTGAAAGGAAACCGACTATCAATTAACTACTCGTAATTTTCTTCATTTTTTCCTTTTTGATCGAAGGCTATTTAAAGCTTCACTGTACACCGAACGTTCCAAATAAAATGTAACAATAAAAACTGAAAACAAAATTATTTTACAATTTTTAAACGGAATATCACGTTCCATTATTTAATAAGAATTATCAACCCACCCTACTCCACCGTTACTTTAAAGTGTAAGCTGGTAGCCGTTGACGAGTGGACGTGAGATGAATCTGTTTGTTTGGCGCGCGGGCTTCCGAGAACGGTGTCCGGGCAGCGTCTGGAAGATTACCTACTCACACGTTGCAACAATCTCCGGGACATGCTTGCATATGGCGCAACGAGTCTTAATGGCTTCACGAATTAGATAACGGCAACAATGTCGCGCCGCCCCATAATCGCTGCGACTGTACTCTTCTAGAATCGAATTTTGAAATTGTGTTTCGCCGTTCGGTTTATTCGAATTTGACGACTGAGCTTTTTGAAATCACGCCTTCGATTCGCCTTTGTTTATTAGGAGTGAAACTGACTGTGGATATTGCTTGTTACCACCGATTTCGCTATTGAATGTACTGGCGAATAAACTGACGAATAAATCGGTGAGAAGTCGCCAATGGTTCATCAATATCCGAATCGAACGTAAATAACGTAAAACTTAATAGTGATCTAGTAGTCCGTGGAATTCGAAACAATCCATGAGTTTCTAAGAAGTACATGATCGTTAATGTCAATGAAAAAAATTGAAAATTATCTTCATTAGAATAAAAAATGTAATTAATTATTCAGTCTGTATTATTGGCATGGAACATATAATTTTTGAATAATGTTGTTTAATTTAGACACCAATTAGCAAGAAAATTATGAATGAATGGCTGATTAAAAAAGGCGAGGAAATTAAGTCTAAACACGTTCGTTTTTCTTAGTTTTTTTTAGTTGATTTAATTTCCAATCAAATAATGGATTCTATATTAATAAATTTGTTAAATTTATAGTTAAATTAATAATAAAACACAAAAGGGATCACCTTTAGATGTTTATAGATGGACTTGAGACATCACTTAACATCATTAGTTAATTGGGCATATAAAAATTTTATAAACTCTTCATAAAGCTTCATTTTGATGACTCCGCGACGCAGTCGCCAAGGTATCGGCGATACCACAGATAGTTGTTTCGCATCTGGGTGTTTGTCCGTGTGAAATGTATCAATCAAATTTATCACAGGATAATGTTATCCTAAAGTAAGGGCAATGTTTTTATAAAAAATAAACGACAAACTTTACAATTAGCGACTTTAATACTACTTACTGGTTAAGCGCAAGACATATCAATTTCTGAGTTCGCCCGTGAGAAAGATAGTGTCACTGTAACATATTCGAAATGATCCTGGTTTAGGAAAGATTCTGTGGTGCAGGTAGTTTAAAACATGGTCTTAACGATAAGAAGTGAACTTTACGGTGGTAGGGCCACGCAGCAGCCTCGGCTGTTGCACGAATGGGCAGGCCCGTCCGGGTAAGTACCACGACCTCACAGAAGACCAGCGTAAAGTGACAGTATGACAAATACTTTCGCGTTTCGTCTGGTGAGTGAGGTAGCCGGAGCCCACTTTTCAAAAGGTTGTCAACGCATCTGTAACCCTCGGGTGTGGCAGATGTCCATGGGCGGCGGTATTTACTTAACATCAGGTAAACCGTCTGCTCGTTTGACAACTTTTCGCATAAAAAAAAAAAAAAAAAGTGCGCTCAGTCTCGAAACAACTATGCTATAATCATTTCAATATTTCCATTGTTGGGATCGAACCACAACACGTCGACAAATGGCAGATGGCGAAGTAAGCACTTAACCAATGTGGCGTTCGTGTTGTCAATGATAAAGTAATTTACTGCTACTTATTTCTGTTGCAACCGGCATTGACTGTGACATTGTGTTTACAAGTTAATTGGTAAAAGAAAAATATTATCATTTGACTCGTCTTGGGTTTTTAATCGTCTCATCTAATTTCATCATTTTTGTCATTGGAACAACGCCATTGTAATTTAACATTACTATAAAATCTTCCTTATTGGTTGTGACTCTTTAAAAATTGACTAAATTTCAATGCAACCGTAACATTAAATTCAGTTGAACCTCGCGGGAATAGTTGCCGATAAATGCATAAGAATTGAATAGTATTGTCATCCTTCGTACATCGTACGTGATTGCATGATTGACCATGCAGTTTCGTTACAGGTGATGTGGGTGGTAGCCGCGCTCCTCGCGGTTGCTGCACTACGGGCTAGTGCAACCTCCTGTACAGAGGCGCGAACCCGATGCGCCTACCGTACGGGATGCGGCTACGCGCTCAACAACTACATGTACCTCTGCAGTGAAGTCCTCTCCGAACCCACCAGCGTGTGCCCGAAGCCTTGTGAGCATGCCCTCATAGCGTTGACGTCCACCGAGGAGGGAAAGGAACTTATGAACGTAAGTACACAATATGACGTGTGTATATACATATTTCGCGTTGATCTATACAGATAAATAAAATTGGAGTGTCTGTTTGTAATATTACAAGTATAATTTTTAACAAATAAAAATATATACGGTCGAATTGAGAAACCTCCTTTTTTGAAGTCGGTTAAAAATAACCCCTTTTTACAAAATGCATATGGATGTATACACGCTACATATACCAAAATAACATTTTTTACAAGTTTTGTTTGTCTGTCTGTCTGTTTGTTCCGGCTAATCTCTGAAACGGCTGGACCGATTTGGACGGGACTTTCAATGGCAGATAGCTGATGTAATAAGGAGTAACTTAGGCTACTTTTATTTTAGATTTTTTTATTTAAATTTCCACGCGGACGATGTCGCGGGCACAGCTAGTATACAATACGTAGACAGTTATTTCTTCTCTGTACACTGTAACAAACACATGAAATATTAAAGAAACAGCCGTGAAAACTTGGCACTTTAGTGTGACTTTTTTCATTACGACAATTTTAAATAATTCGCAGTTCTTTACAGTATAAAACGCGTAAAGAGTTTTCGTTACATTGTATATTTGAATGCTGTCAGTTATTTATTGCTTACAGACGTCCATAATACTATTGGAATTTCAGTTTCTTGATTTAGGGCCATGTTATACTAGTCACACAGACATAAGTTTTATCATTTTTTATTTGGTCTGGTGATTGTTGACGCACCAGAAACCGTTCAGGTGTGTCTTTATTACATCCTTACTAATATTATAAACGCGAAAGTTTGTATGTATGGATGGATGTTTATTACTCTTTCACGCAATTACTCCTGAATGGATTTTAATGAAACTGTTACAATATAGCTTATACATCAGAATAAGACATAGGCTATATTTTATGTATATCAGTCTTTCTATCTGAATGTTACGCTTTCAGACTATTTTACGCAGGCGTAGTCGCGGGCAGCAGCTAGTTATTCATATTGAAGAGTTAGAAGTCTTCATGAGACCCCGGAAGTCTCATTGAGGACATGCGAGACGAAATGCAATGTGTGATGTGTTTAATCTAAGTGTGAAAACGGTATATTTATATTACTGTCATTCGAAATCCTACAATGGTGCCTGAGCATCCAAAGGTCAAGCTTGTCACGATAAATTCATGACCACTTGTTTATGGCCGCGTCTCTCAATTGAGATGGACGTCCAGTTTCGTTGGAGCTTTTTCGCAGAACAATTTAGGTTACTCCCGTATAGTGTGGGAGTGTCTTGATACGCTGGTGTGCCCAAGTGCGCAGACGCCCAGCAATAAAATCTAATTTAGACGTCAGATTTGTCGGACGCGATGCAACGCCATCATTGGGGCAGCTGAGGGTCCCGGTTAATGACCTCGCCATCCACTATTCTTAATTTACGGCGTGAACTCGAAATGTGTCTATAAATTTAGTCAAATAGTCTTTCCTCTATTGGTGTCAATGGTTGATAAAAATATTTTTGTCCAAGTGAAAAATTTTCATAATACATTTGTACATTTATTATTACGCATTAGTTTTCTTGGTTCGTGATTTGCTGGCGCTTGTTTTTTTTTATGAGTTATAGCATTTTTGTATACCTGCGTAATGGTATGCCGGGGTTATGAATATATCTATGCGGGTATTCTAGTACTTTACAAATATTATTTATGATTTGCCTTTGAACTACTCTTCAGTTTTCCCATATCGTTTTTATAAATATAATAATATTTCGCCCCATTATTCAATAATTAAATTAATTGAAATTGATGTGTATAGTCTGTTATATCATACAGAAAGGCGAAATATTATTTCCAGGTGATATAAAGCAGTGAAAGGTGTCAATTTTTGAAGTCCCAACATTTGAGTGAAATAAAAAATAAAATCATCGCAATGAAAGAATACATCGAAATTACGTGTTTGAAAAAAAATTCAAAGTTATGTGAAGTCTGCCAATCTGCAGTGGGATCGCGTGGTGGACTATGCCTAAATACCTTCTGTACACAGGAGGCTCTTGCCCAGAAGTGGGGTATGTTAGGTACTTTACTTTTTACTTTAAACAAATAAATGGGTTTGTTATTATCATTTGTCATACGTACGTATACTCAGGATTTTTGTCTAAGTGCGTACTTTTAGGTATTATGCCTATGGACCTAATTTAAGTATCTACTAATTAAATGTAGTACTTATTAATACAAATAAACCATACCATACCATACCATATCGAATCGATATAGAAAAATAGAATCGATATAGGCCATATTTGTTTTTAATTATGGCGGAAAATAAATACTTACATTGATAACAGGCCTTTGCGTAAAGAACAATAAAAATATGAAGTTGTCTATAATGGGAAACTTCATCAAGGACATTCGCAGTTGAATCAACAAAACCGGCCAAGTGCGAGTGGGATTCACGCATGAAGGGTTCCGTACCATCCTTACTAATATTATAAAGGCGAAAGTTTGTATGTATGGATGGATGTTTTTACTCTTTCTCGCAAATACTACTGAATGGATTTTAATGAAACTTTACAATAATATAGCTTATACATCAGAAGAACACAAAGGCTTTAATTTATTTACGTATATATTACGTGTATATCTGACTTTCTGATTGAATGTTCAGCCTATCTATGCAGACGTAGTCGCGGGCAGCATCTAGTTATCTATAAAAACTACAAAAAACCATATCTGTTGTAAAGGAGCCTCACTTAAATATTTTTTTATCTGTTTATTAGTTTTTGTTGTTATAGCGGCAAAGGAAATACATCATCTGTGAAAATTTTATCTGTTTAACTTTAGATTCATGAGATATGTGATGATATATGGACAGACAGACATATAGACATACAGACAGACAGCGGAGTCTTTGTAATAGGGATTTAACCTTTGGGTACGGAACCCTTAAAACAATGTATGAAGTGGCACATCGGACCTCCCTCGTAGTGCAGCTGTTGGCTAAACTGGTGTCTGTGAAAATTACTCATTATAACGAGCCTTCACACCTTACTTAGTAGGGGATTATTTGAACAAATATACTTTTCTACGGAGAAAAAAATAAAAATTAATGACAACACAATAAGAAAGCACCTTCTAAAAGAAACGGTAGCTTTAATAACAATCGGAGTTAATGATACTGTAATGACGCAATATGGCTTCGGTTCCGTAGATAATTCGGTTTGGAACCGGTCAAACCTCTAATTATGCCGTTGTAACGGTGTGATTATTGTGGTTCGGTTGGGCAATGTGTATCGAAAGGCAGGGCAAAGGAGCGGTCGCGTTCAGCCTTGAGATTTGACGTCTTGATCGAGACCTACCGCAGCGCTCGCCCCGCTGCAGGTGTTGCCATGTTTCCACAAAAAAATACGTAAGACGGATGCCTCTTGATTCCTCCGCGTACGAGACCTAGATAGACTGTCAGCCTTTTTTTTTCCTTAAAACTGGCCTCGTTTCGGAGGCGAAGGAAATGATCAATAATTAGTTTATCGTATTTATGACGAATATCAAAATTAAGAAGAAAAATTTTGATTAGTGATATAAATTTAAAGGAGGAGTAGAGAAGATATTACTGGATCAAGTATTAATATTTGTATATAAAATTAAATTCTAATGCTACATAAAATGTAAATTAATAATACAAATAATGATATAGTTAATATAACAGCACTTATAACGTGTGTTAGGGATTTTTGCTTTTTTCTGCACATAATCTATACGATTTTTAATTTTTATATCGGCTATATTCTATCAGTATTAAAGTCTATAAAGAAATAATTATTTTTAAGGTCACGAGCGAATCTAATGATGCTTTATTATAAGCCTAACTTACTGTTGCTTCTGTAGACAATCAACCGGATAACCGCAAAATGTATTGAGAAACTTACTGTAATAACTGGCTTGAACTCGGGGAGAATCAAGAACTACTTGATTACGAATAATATTATGATATTTGAAATGAAACGTTTTGCGGTGCTATCTCAATTAGATTCATTGAAAATAGCCCATCTTGAGTTTTCAGATACCTATATTAAAACCGTTATGATGGTCGAATATAAAATTCATGAACTTGATACTCCCGAGGTAGTTTTACTGTGCATAATTTGTTTTCATAGCGGCCGGAATGTTTCTCGTGCCGTTAAATAGTTTTACGAACTAAGTTATTACACGCTACGCTTCCACCGGTTTTGCAGTTTTCTCCAAAAAATTGGTTTGGTAGTTAAAGTTACGTATGCTATAGGCATATTCAACTATGACAAATAAAGGAATTTCTTTGAATAAAACCTACTATTAGGAATGCAATAAGAAATTTAATTAACTAAAGGGAGTAAGAATTTTCCACGGATTCCCTATTTTCTTCTATTTATTTAATCATCATTTTTACTTATTTTAATATTTAACCATTAAGAAATTTCCAAATTAAAAGAGTAACGTTCATCAATACAAGAAGCAACAAGAATTTTTTTTATGTGACAAAGTGGCAAACGTGCTGGCAGTTCACCTGATGTTAAGACACCCGTAGGGCAAATGCGTCATCACCTTTAACTAAAGTGGGCCCCGGCTACCGCACTCACCAGACGAAAGGCAGAAGTATAACACTTTTACATTACGCCGGTCTTCTGTGAGGGAGTGGTACTTACCCGGACGGACCTGCCCATTCGTGCAACAGTGAACACTATTGCGTGGCCCTATCACAGACTAGGCCCTGACAATCAAATAGGCAGATTAGGGTTTGTGCCTCTCATGTTTTAAGTAATATGTTATAAATGTAGACGTCATAAGCGTCTGCAATAATATTTTTAACTAATAATTGAAACAGATCTGTGCAAATACTCAAACAAATCATGAAAGTGAAAGTCAAAGTTATGTTCGCTCTAATAGATAAGTAACTAGTGACATCGCTTGCTGTACTACAAACTATTGTATTACGTTCGAACTTTCTACTCATAATATGCAGTGATATAGAAATATCACTGTATATTAAAAAAGGTTATATCTATGATACACTATTGCTTTACACATAATAATAATTTCCAGTAATTGTAAAGGTTAAAAATAAAAAAAATATTTAGATTTTTAAACGTTCACCTATACAGGCTTTTCTAAGTGAATCCATTTTTTTAAATTAAATTCTAGACATAAAATAATGTTACATAAAAAATGATAAATATTTAAAATCACTCGTAAGTAATTAATTACATTCATTTGAACTTATCTCAAAAAGCGCGTGATTTATACGCAACTCATTTATTTTACGCGCGATCATTCATAACTGACATGCACACGAGTTCGTGCACAGTAAAATTTAGGTATTTATGAATGACTACCGTATAGTCAACACGTTCCATTTTTTTGGGAAAAGAATGGCATTTTTTAAAAAAAAAATTGTTTTTTATTTCAATAAACGATTATACTACCGAGTCTGATGAACCTATAAATTGTAAATTCACGTATAAGTTTAAAGCAAACTCTTTATTTTTTTCTCATTATCGACATTTATCTCAATAACATTCCTGATTCTATACTGACAATATATACATTTACTTTTGTTAACCTATTTCTCTTCCCGCAGTGCGAGTGCGAGGACAAGTATTGCGAGGAGGCGAAGCAACGGATCGACGTCTGCCGTTCCCAAGTGCTGAGGGGCGCTGCCAACGCGACTTCGTCGTGCCGCCTCTCGCAGCTGATCTGCCTCGCCGATGCGCAATGTTCCACTGCGCTGAGCTACTACAGGCAGCTCTGCCGCTCGATGTATCGCGGCAGGAAGTGCTCCAACCGCTGTCTCAACTCGATAGAGATACTAAAGAAGCAGGATAAGGCCGCCGCGCTGACCGAGTGCCGCTGCGATGGCGACGAGGACTTCGACTGCCCGAGGATGCAGAGCAACCTCGCCCGCCTCTGCTTCCACAAGCACCAGAAGAACCACACGCGGCCCCACAAGAAAACGCCGCACGAGGAAACCCTATCCGCCGCCGGTCTATTGCGCGCGTCGAGGTGGACGGTCTACTTTTGCCTGTTCTACCGTTTAGTGTACACGTGACCAACGTATAAGAGGCCCACCTCAGCCTAGTAGAATTAGATTGGGACCACGCGACCAAGTACAACGGATTTTGTAAATATGCACATATAGAGCAGTATTGTAAGTTAATTTATATGTAGTTAATTTTCGTAAGCGAGGATTGTCAAGGGCGTTGTGAATGGTGTTTGTTTGTGTGTGTTTAGATTCAGTGCGCTTCGCGCGGTTATAGTATTATGGAATCGCAGCTATGAGGTGGTCGGAGTAAAAATTTCAGTAGTTACGAAGAGAATCTCTTTATGTTCTTATTTTGAAATCTAGCGAAAGGCGTCCACGCCGTTGTTTCCTTCGTCGAATGAAAGTTTCACGCACGTGGCGTCACGTGGGCGAATACGTCTAAATGTGTGCACGTTAATACAGATATCCAGATAGAGCGGTGGACGCCTCAGCTCACGGGCGCGTGCGCGGGCGTCGCTATAAATATGGCGGCGCTGGTGGTCCTGTGACAAATGCCGCATTGGACGCTTGCCGTCGTTGCAATTCGGCTTTCTACCGCCACAGCCCAGTGTGAACGGCGAAAGGGGAAAATACATATATATGTCCATCCGAGAGAAAAAGCTTTTCCTCGGATGTGCTTTTTACTGATTGCGTTAATTGCTTCGAAGAACTTTTTGATCACTTCATCACTAATCAACACAAAATGCGTTAGTTAAGGCCAGATTCCATGTTCTACTTAAACTAACCTATCTAAAGTACGGAGATTTGCAAACATAACTTCAGATTATCGGCGTGCCCTTTAAGGGGGCCGATATAAAATCGTGTTAACTTTTCATAGTTATAAATAATAAAAGTTTGAATGCAACCAACGGAACGCTTAAATCCTACCGTAGTTGAGGAAGTGGATGCCCCGTAGCTAATTTCGTTGAGCGCGACACTAATCGTCTCTCAGATGTTGTCGCGGTACAAATATGCGGCGCGAGATTCCGCTGTCACTTTGACGTCTTTTAAATTGTTTTTTTTTCGACTTCCTCTTCAAACCGTGCTTTGAAATATTGGGCCTACTCGTTAGCGCATATTTCGAAGATTTCTTCACGTCAATTAGGAAATATTATAAGCAAAAATGTGTCGTGTTTGATAAAGTGCCTTATTATATTTTATTTCCAAATCATATCTGACTTCAGTGGGTACAGTTCATATAATTTCCCGTGTTTAATCTGGAGTTATTGGCGGGCTGCCTCCAAACATTTTTTTAATTCAATAGTATTAATCAAAACCGTAGCTTATCAGTTCAAGAACAAAAGCAACCGTTTCGACCAACTTCAAAAAAGGAGGAGTATTTTTTTACTTCAGAACTCCGATTTTAAAAATTCTTTCTCTCATTCACGGGGCTCGGTTTAGGTCCCATGTGGTTCCATATCAATTTCATTGGTATTGAACCTAGGACTCAAGAGATACAGCAGGACACTCCTCAAAATCAAATAGAAAATGAGATGTTTGAAGTCAGTTTTGTTTTTTTGTTAATAAAAATGCAATTGCTAATCTTCAATAACAATTGTCGTGAAAAATATCTCTAAAAGGTTGAACGTGAGCCCAATGTCTGCGTCGACGAAAAAGGAATTGAGGTTTCTCGCTATACGTATGAGATGTATATAGGTTGGGTTGTAATGAAGAGGTGTAGAACCGGTTCCCTCAAAGCAAGGCCTCGAGTACTCCGCAGGACCGCAGCCTCGTAAGCTGATATCGGCCGACAAAAGGAAAAACAATCTAACTGTTTCCGAACGGATAATTAATTTTTGTCAATATTGGGCAACGTGTTTGTTTCTCCTCTTGGTTTGTTTTGAAATTCGGCCCCGTTTGCCGTGCGTTTGTAAACACAAAAAGAGACAGTTGCTTTGTGTTTTTGACGTTATTTCTGCATTTCAGGGCACGAGTAATTATTATCGTTAGCGTATCGTAGTTCAGTACTTCCTCAGTACTGGTGCAACCAGTAATGTTATATCATTAACTGTTTTGTTTCCAGTTCACATCTTTTATTTTTGTTGTCATACCAAAGTAATTAAAGCTTACATTAACCATTTAGAGCAATTTTATAATGTTTTAGAAACTTTTACTTAACATTTCAATCGAATTTTACAAATGTATTCTGTTTTTAGTATGCACCTTGCAAACAATTGCTTACTAATGTTCCGTCGCCCGAATAATGCCACTATGATGCATTATGCAAAGGACAAAATGATGTCAGGAATATGAATGAAGGCGGTTTTCTCGGTGATTTATTCACCTTGTCTTTATAAATCTCGCCCTTGCGGGTTGAGTTGAATTTGAAATCGGTACTCTATCAAAGCTTTCCCCAATTTTGGCAATATTCGTTGGCACGTGATTTTACTCAGATATTACTATTTAAAAAACTGTGGTCGAACGTTATGTAAATTTGTTAGATCTGCATTTTTTTTAAAATAATATTTTTATGTGAGAAAGTGGCAAGGGAGCTGGCGGTTCACCTGATGTACATAACCACCGCCCATGAGCATTTGTGAAACCCGTAGGGTTACAGATGCGTTGCACTACTCTAATCTAGTGGGCTCCGCATACCTCACTCACCGGACGAAACGCAGCAGTGTATCACTACTCTACTACACGCCGGTTTTCTGTGAGGTCGTGGTACTTCCCCGGACGGACCTGCCCATTCATGCAACAGCGAACTGTTGTGTGGCCCTACCACAGTGACAAATAATTGTGAACCAATAACTTAATTTTAATTTCTATAATTTTTATTTAATCTACATAAATTCCTAGATTTTCGTACACAGCCACTTTTGGGAGCCACTTCAGCTCCCAATCCGCCGTCGCAGGAATACCCATATTCCCTCTGGTTTAATACCTCTACTCCGAAATACTTAAAAGATCGCCATGAAAGGTCCCTTTGTTCTTCTGCCAATCTCTCCTTCCAAATTCTTGTACATTCCTCTTCCTTCTTCAAAAATCTTTTACAGTGACAGCTGTGCGTTTGTGGAATTATTTGCCCCGTCACATTCGACAAGCTAAGTCACTTCTTTCTTTTAAAAACCTATTAAAAGCCCATTACTTGGAACTGTGAACTCATGCTTTTTCCTTTCCTATTTTCCCCGAAAATCTTTGACTATCTCATTGATGTATGCCTTCATCCGATGTTTATAAGTCATTCATTTACTCCTTCTCCCTCTGCTCCCCTCCTTTTTATTCCATTTACACCCTCTGCTCTCTTCTTTATGTCTCATTAGCAATAATTGTTTTCGCAATGGTTGTCTTGGAGAAATCGCTTTTTGAGCCATAAGACCGCCTATTGTACTTCCATTTATATTCATTTGTAATTTGTTATATATATATATTTATTTTTGGTGTACAATAAAGTATGAATAAATAAAATAAATTCCTAGATTTGGAAATAAGTCAATATTTGTTAATTATCAAAGTTTTACTAATCTCAGTTTAACCATTTTCGAATCGACCTGAAAACACACTAATATCATTAAAATCGGTCCGGTCAGTGACATACACACGTACAGAAGATGATCACTTACCATCAGGTGTGTGTGTGTGTGTATATATAAAGATTTTAAACTAAACCGAAACCTTCAAGAAGAGAGCCTATTCCTACCTTATAGGCCGGCAACGCAATTGCGATTCAACCGATGCGATATTGCAGATGTCCATGGGCGGCGGTGATCACTTACCATCAGGTGACCCGCATGCTCGTTTGCCTCCTTTTCCCATAAAAAAAACGTCTCGATGAACCATGTTTATTTAAAATCTGCTAAATTAGGCGTATAACAATAGGATAATATGATAAACAGTTTACTATAATCTTTACGTATTTATGATGAAATTATTATTACAGATTTTATTTGATAACAGTATTATTTCTTTTGAAATTGATGTACAAAATGTAGTGAAGTAAATGTATTATGTATATGTATAATGCGTATTATGCGATTTGTTTCAAATTTGTGTTTACTGTTATACCTTAACTCGACTACCCTCGTTTCTGCGATAACATAATGTTAAGAATTTCTGTTGATAATTTTGAGTGTGTATTGTCCAAAGTGTGCCAGTGTGTTTATATTTCATTTGTTTGTTTTTCACGTGTGTGTTGCCGTTTTACGATTGTATCGCATTAAGAAAGAAACTTATGAAACTTTCGATTTAAGAAATTATATTTAGTTAAGTAAACAGTTGAAATATTTGTAATTCATTAACCACAGTTTACCAAAGTGAGATTATTAGGATAGTATCGATTCTTGTAAATAATTACCACGTAAGATTTATTTTTGATTATTATAATTTAAGTAATAAATTTCGTACAAAGTATTTTAAATTAAAATTAATAATTTATTATTTAGATACGGTTTAGCATTAAAATTAAAATATTGTTGCATTTGTTTCGTTTTTGTGAAATCATTTTAAGGAATCTAGTTGTCTTTATTTGGACAGGCAAAAATTAAAATAAATTTCTGTTTTCTAGTAATGGTTTTTATTTATCATAAATCTGCTGACAAAACTTGTTTCTTCCAATGAACGAAAAGATAAATGAGGAATGACTAAAATCATTCTTCTTAAACTAATATTGGCTGAGCTTAAAACAACCTGAAAACGCATGTGAAAAATATCTTATTTCAACATCTTGAGTTCGCTTATTATAATCGCGTGTAAAGGATAAAAGAAAAATTTATTTTTTATTTATATTTTTTGTATCGTAAATAAATAATTGAAAATAAAGTACCAAAAGTTATCGACTGTATTTTAAAATATTCAATAAATAGCACTACAAACAATGTTATCTAATAAACATGGTCTAAAGGGTCATATATGTATAAAACGTTATACATTATTACACTGAAAAACAGCTTAACCTATCGTTTCCACTTTAACTCTTTTATTTGCCAAAGTTAATTATTAATGTGATGACCATTCATCTAAAACCATAGCCAAGTAAGTAGACTTTTTATGAGGTGGTAGCAATAAAGAATCTGTTACAAGCTCTTTTTATTACTTCAATTTTCGCTTAATTGACCCCTTTCTCCCCTATATAGTTTATTTAGTAGTAGTAGTATATAGTTTCTTGCCGGTCTCTTCTCTGCTCTACTTACGAACTTATGTATGCGCAAGCGTCTATTTGAATAAAGATATAATGAATTGGAATCGGATTGAATATGAACTAGTAAAGTGAAAAGCCGTCATACGCTATAACAGTGTTATTAGAAAGAGACGATATCGGGCAAATACTTCACTTTAGTGTTCCTAAAATAGAGCGCGAACAAATATTAAACTAGTTGAATAGTTAGTTATATTTATTCTTTGAGCTTACTACCAGCCGTAACAATGAATCGAGGAACATAACTCCTTTAAAAGTATTTTGTGCGGTAACACCACAAATCTGAGGTATATTCCATTCTATAGAGAATGTCACAAATACGTAATCGACACAAGGAAATCGTTCGAGGGACAAAAGTTTTTGTGCGGGAACACCACAAATCTGAGGTATATTCGATTCTATAGCGAATGGCACGTAATAAATGCGAATGACATAAG